TGATAAGATAAATATATTTTTGGTATTTTATAATATAGATGGAGAAAAGTAAAGATGCAAATAAAAGTAGATTGAAAGCAAACATGATAAGAGATAGACCCGGGGGCCATAGGTTTCACTAAAGGCTTCTCTCGAGAGCATAAGTATTACGGTGGGTGAACAAATTACTGTCAAGCAATTGATAGAAAAGCGAATAATTATGACGTTATCTAGGCATGATCATGTATATAGGCATCATGTCCATAACAAGTAGACTGACTCCTGCCTGCATCTACTACTATTACTCCACACCTCGACCGCTATCCAGCATGCATCTACAGTATTAAGTTCATAAGAACGGAGCAACGCATTAAGAAAGATGACATGATGTAGAGGGATAAACTCATGCAATATGATATAAACCCCATCTTGTTATCCTCGATGGCAACAATACAATACGTATCTTGTAACCCTTTCTGTCACTGGGAAAGATCACCGCAAGATTGAACCCAAAGCTAAACACTTCTCCCATGGCAAGAAAGATCAATCTAGTAGGCCAAACCAAACTGAAAATTCTAAGAGACTTGTAAAGATAACTCAATCATACATAAAAGAATTCATAGAAGATTCCAATATTATTCATAGGTAAACTTGATCATAAACCCACAATTCATCGGATCTCGACAAACACACCGCAAAAAGAGATTACATCGAATAGATCTCCACAAGAGAGGGGGAGAACATTGTATTGAGATCCAAAAAGAGAGAATAAGCCATCTAGCTAATAACTATGGACCCGTAGGTCTGTGGTAAACTACTCACAACTGATCGGAGAGGCTATGGTGTTGATGTAGAAGCCCTCCGTGATTGATTCCCCCTCCGGCAGAGTGCCGGCGAAGGCTCCAAGATGGAATCTCGTGGATACATAAGGTTACGGCGGTGGAAATTGTGTTTCGTGGTGCTCCTGGATGATTTCGGGGTCCGTGGATATATATAGGAGAAAGAAGTACGTCGGTGGACGCCCGAGGGGCCCACGAGATAGGGGGGTGCGCCCCTAGGGGGGCGCCCTCCTATCTCGTGGGGCCCTCGGAGATTTCGTGAGTTGCACTCCAGGCTCTCCGAATCAGATTTGTTCCAAAAATAACGCTCCCGAAGGTTTCATTCCATTTGGACTCTGTTTGATATTCCTTTTCTTCGAAATACTGAAATAGGCAAAAAACAACAATATGGGTTGGGCCTCCGGTTAGTAGGTTAGTCCGAAAAATGATATAAATGTGTAGAATAAAGCCCATAAACATCCAAAAGGGGTAATATAATAGCATGGAACAATCAAAAATTATAGATACGTTGGAGACGTATCAGCGCCTATGTCGAAGGTGGCGCCTGAGGATCCATCTTCATCGACTGGTACCTGCTTAGTCTCCGCCTAGTCTTGGGTGAACAACTGCTTCTTCTTGGTTGGCGCAGCCCCCTTGGCATTGAGGATGTCGGCGCCGGTGGGCTGCGGCACTGCGGCCGCCTTGAAGGCGAGCTTGAGCGCTTGCAGAGCATCCTTTGTATCTCCAGCTATGGTGAGGACACCGCCGCTCCTGGGCATCTTCATGAGGTTGTAGGCCGGGTGAGTCGCTGCCATGAACTGGGCCAAGGCAGGGTAGCCGAGGACAGCGTTGTACAGGAGGCTGATGGGGGCGATGCCGAAGTCGATCAGCTCCGTGCGGAAGTTGTCGTGGGTGCCGAAGGTCACCGGGAGGCGGATCTGCCCCAGGGAGTCGGTGGAACTGACCCCGACGCTCGAGAAGGGCTTGCTAGGTTGGAGCCACTCCAGCGGCACGTGAGGGAGGCTGAAGGTCTCAATCGAGAGCACGTTGAGGCCGGCACCGCCGTCGATGAGGGTCCTGGTGACGGCCACCTGGCAGATGGTGGGAGTTCACAACATTGGGAGCGCACCCGAGCAGGCGATGTTGGCGGGGTGATCGTCCAAGCTAAAGGTCAAGTCATCCTTGGGTGCCACCCAACCCGGAGGGGCTTCACGGTGCGTGAGGGCAGCTTCTATCTGACAGACGGACAGCTTGACGTGGCGGCTCGAGGGTGGCACTTGCGAGCCGCCCAGGAGGGCTGCGATGACCGGGGGTGCCGGTGCAGCGTAATGGGCAAGGAAGAGGTCACGGAGCTCCTCCCAGGAGGCCACAGAAGCCGTTGGCTGGTGGAGCAGCCACATGCGCAGAATGCCGGTGAGGTCCATGGGAAACCAGCTAGCCATGACCCTGTCGTCGCCCCCGGCCTTGAGGACGGCCTCCTCATATGCCAGCAGGAAAGCCAGCGGATCCGCCGCACCGTCGAAGCGCGGCAGCATCTCTGGCTTGAACTTGTTCGGCCATTGCACCTGTCGCAAGGCGGGGGCCAATGCTCAAAGCCCCCTGGTCCCAGTGTCGGCGTCGGCAGCCGGGGCGGGCGGCACGTTGTCCACCATGAGGGCGAAGCGTGGTGTTGATGGAGAGCGGGTCGATGGAAGGGAGAGCTCCGGCGCACCCCTACCTGGCGCGCCAAATGTCGGATATCGGGTTCCGGCAAAACCCTTAAGGTTTGAACTCTGGGGTGCGCGCGAAGATCTTCCTCCTACCAATCCACGTCCCAACGCCTCGCTGCGAATCTAAGCTACACGATGAACACAAGGGACACAAGGTTTATACTGGTTCGGGCCACCGTTGTGGTGTAATACCCTACTCCAGTGTGTGGTGTGGTAGATTGCCTCAGGGGCTGATGATGAACAGTACAGAGGAAGAACAACCTCACAAGGGGTGTTCTTGTGGTGATGTGCTTGGGGAGGAATTGCTCCGTCTCTGTTGGCTCTAGGTGAGATCCAGATGCCTTCTACTGATGGCTATCTCTATATATAGAGGCACAGGTCCTCATCCCAAATATTGAGCGGCAAGGGCGCCAACAACGGCCATTTTGAAGGGGAACATCTAGTACAAGTTATCCTGACTAAAGTTGGTCTTAGGCTGCCAAAGGCACTGGCAATCACTACAAGAAATATGTCAACTTGTGACCACCACTATTGGTCACTGAATGGTCACTATTTTCCATTTGTGACCTTTTTGTGACAAAAAACATAAGGTCAAAAGCTGGCCGCCGTAAACTGACATTAGCGACCTTTCTTCTGGAATGGTCGTAGATGTTTATGACCCAAAAAAGGTCGTAGATTTAACGATCAATTATTTTGGTCACTAGCAATCCGACCACACCACGTCAGATTCACCATGGCAAGCTGACGTGGCAGCATTACGACCAAATGAAAAGGTCGTAAAATAGAATCAGCCCGGTCCATTTCAGCCGTCTACATGGGCCAAGCCCAATAATTCAGCCCATTTAATTTATTATTTCTCTTTATTTTGCTTATCTGCATGGGCCTGGCCCAATAATTTGGCCTTTTATTTTTTGAGAATGGAGCCTTTTTCTGATGAATTTCTTTATAGTCCACTATTGTTTTGGGCCACAGCCTTTTTAGTCTAGTTCGAATTTGGGCCTTGGCCTTTTTATTTTCTGTTATGCAGCCTTTTATAAAAAAAATTCTTACAGTCATTTCTTTTTAGGCCCAAGCCTTTTTAGTCTAATTCTTGTTTGGGCCTCGGCCTTTTTAGAGCCCAGGTTCTTATTTTGCATAACTATAAACAGAAAGGCCCAGGTGCACAAGTGATCCACAAGCCCAGGTTCAAACAGCAAGGCCCAGGTGCACAAGTGATCCACATAACTTCACAGAAAATAAACACAGGTTCACAAGATCACATAACTTCACAGGTTCATATAAATTCACAGGTTCACAAGATCACATAACTTCACAGGTTCAAACAGCCATCAAACTAGGCAGCAATGCAACAAAATGCTCAAAGACAAACTGCACAAGAGGTTCACAGCCATCAAACAGCCATCAAACCCGTCAAACCCAACAAAATGCAACTACCTTAGCAGCTCAAAGACAAACTGCATAGCCATCAAACTGCCTTAGCTCCAAAGAGAGCCATCAAGTGGGCTAACTTCTCTTCCTACTCTTGAGACTTCTTGCGCAGAAGCTCAAGTTCCTTGTCCTGTGCAGCTTCAGATTCTTCCGCCTTCATCTTGATTGCCGCCAATTCTTCTTGCATCACTTCAGCTTGAAGCTCAGACCTCTCCAACTTCTGCTCAAGGTCACGAACATGAGCAGCCACTTCATCAGTTGCTTTGCCGGAGTTGTTCCTAGATGACTGGAGCCCAACATTCCTGAGGAATGTGCTTTGCTTGACTTTGGTCTTGACCACTTCTTCGACAATTTGAACAACAGACTTTGGCTATTCACCTTCTGGTACCGGCGTGTCCTTCATTTTTTTTCATCTCAAGCTAGCATATGGAGGAAAATGATAGGCATTAGTGGGAGATCTCTTTCACATTTTGCAAACCAAACCAAGCAAGAGAAATCAAACTAGCACACAAATGGATTATTTGAAGTAACCAAACCAGCACACAAAATCTATACAAGAAGATGATGACTAGTGACCTGGAGGCATGCAATTGGAACAATATGATTGCTTCAGTAAGCCTAGAATGATGGTTCTATATAAGATGGCTTCCCGAGTGAGCCGATCATCAAACTAACATTCAGATCAAATTTCATCATATCATAAAAAAATGCAACAAATAGCTACAGCAAGTTTTGATATCTTTGTTGAACTATCAAACAACATCAAAGCATGGAACATAGCGTGTGTTCTTGACTGGCTCTGAATCAAACAGCATCAAATCATCAAAGCATCAAAGCTGGCTGTGAATCAAATAGGGCAAAGCATGGAGTGACTTACTATAGTAGTATTGACTGGCTCCGAAAACCCATGCTTCTTGTTGTTGTGGGTGGCCTTAAACAAGTCAATCGCAGACAACTCCTCACCCTTATGCTCTTCTTTCTGAAATGTTTTTCAACAAAAATCAAAATGTTATTCAGCAAGAATCAGAAATGTTATTCAATGAGGATCAAACGGTAAGGTCTCTAGAGAAAAGTTCTCACAGTGGCAAAAATGTGTGTTGTGTAGTGCCTGGAACCAGTTCTCTGATTGTACACGACTTTTTCTTGATTCATCTTGTTCGACACACAGGTTTCCTACAAAAAAGCATACTGTCAGCATGATCTAGCACTTGCATATCATGTGCAGAACATAAATCATAGACAAACCTTGTGTCTTGGGGTAGACCACATCTCCACCAGAGCTTGCCATTCACAATCCGTCAGATCAGGCACCGGAGATTTAATGTTGACTTTATTTGCGGCTACTTTATCAAAATACTTCTTCTTGATTTGATGGCGTCTGTTCTTTGAATTTTTCTACAGAATATCTTTGCACGCGGTCTTGATGGTCTCCGAGTCCGTGTTCATCTCAAAATTTGCCTACCAAGACAACAAACAAGGTAGGAACAATATTAGTGATCATGCATAGGTATAACAGAAAATAGATAGCACATTAACAATGAAACAAGTAGCTTACAACAACTTTCCCAATGTAGTTCTCCAATAGACTAGCATTTTTTGTATAGTTTGAAGTGAGGAAGAACCGGAAGATGGATTCTTGCAATGAGTCCACACTCAGAAGCAAGCTTTGCTGCCTGCAAAGGCTTCTCTGGACGCTTCATCCCTTCGGCAATTTGGATAGGCACCTTGCTACCAAGCGACTTGGTGATCCTCTCTAGCCCTTTGCCCTTTCTAAGTCTAGTCTTGGTAGTCATTGCATCTGGAAATGAAATTGAACTCATAAATTAGAATAGAAATCGACAAATGCAGGAATTGGCAAAAGCATACATGATCATTCCATTTGGAAAATGCACTAGTAAAAGATAGCATTGCAAAGGTCAACTTGCCTGATTGAAGCACAAGCTGCTGTTCTTCTTCATTGATGACAACATTCCTGTCAATAGAAGGTGCAATAGGGCTGAGGTCTGTGTGGACAGTGCCTGCTTCATCAATGCAGATGGTTCCTCCTTCATCTAGGCAGACAGTGCCACTTCCATCCATGCCGAGAGTGGTCCCTTCATCCATGGGCGGCAACTCATCACCCATTTGCACCGAGGTCTCAGAGTCCATGCGCAGCAGACTTTCCTGATGGTCCGTCGCAGTCGCCATCTTTGCTTTCTGCCTTGTGACTCTATCAAGGGCAGGTTCATCAGGTTCCAGGATCCTCTTTTTTTGTCTTGGAGTTGGGGCCATCACCCTTCATGGAGGCATTGCAGCAGATGTTTCTGAGCTCTTCTTCTTCTTGCTGACTGTCTTCTTAACACCAAGCCTCTTTGTCCTAGATTCCTTCAGTGTCTCGTATAAATAGCACGGAAAAAAGCATTAGATCACAACAGAAATATGTGAGCACAAGGAATACCATAGCATAAAAGAACCCCAACCCTCCAAGCAAGACAGAGTTTGCACCTTAACCGTCTTGTTCACTACAACATCATCCACTTCCTCTCCATCAATAACTTCATCCTCCTTAGGATTGTACTCTGGGTCATCATTGATAACTCCACTACCTTCTTGAACCTCATCACTTCTACCTTCTTGTACACCATTTGTTTTCCTAATCATCGACGCTATTGCACCGATGCCAAGGGACTGGAACATCCGATTGTTCCTCATGATATTTCTAGCCCTAACCTTCTCGTACTCGGTGAGAGGCTCTTCATTGCATGATAAAGGAAACATAACTATTAGGTGAATGTTTGGAATGCATGGACAGACAGCCAAACATATCTTATGAAATTTTATTATCATTTAATCCTAGTTATTCAGGTAAGGAAGACTAATAGCACACAGGCACAATTAAGTCAGCTTATTCAGATTGCAGCAATACATTTCACTTAGCATATTAAGACACAAATTTTATGAAACTGTCAGTATAACCACAAGGAGCAAGTTGCATACCAACGGTTGGCCTCATGTTTGACCTTGTCATCCTTGCCATGGATGATCTTGAGGTGGTGCTTGCAAAATAGAATAAACAACAATCTGATACAACAGGGAAAAAGTAAAATGATGCACTTGTATCAATAAAGGAAAGCATTTGGACCATCATGCACATACAGTGATGTACTGTTATTAATTAAGCAAACATGTAAGTGCACTAAACAAGCATGCATGTACAGTGGAAATATATGTACACTAAACAAGCAAGCAAGCAAAGTGCTACTGATAGAAACAAGCAAGCAATGAAGGAAATTGAACAGAAGCAAGCAAATACTATTGATACAAACCCTAATTAATAAGCAAGCAAGTAGCTTCTTCTCCATGTGCTACTGATACAAGCATGTACTGCTGATGGAAACCCTAATTAAGCATGTATGCTTGCAAGCAACATGTATGTTAGCAAGCAAGCAACATGAACTAGTGAATTGGTGTCATGTACACATGCTTAGACAGTCTGACAGCAAGCTAGATGAGTATATCATGAGGACTTTCAAAACAACTAGATGTTTCCACTAGTAAAGCATGAAACAACAGTACTTGCAGAAGTACAAAAGCAGATGAAAAAATTATTCTCAACTGCTCAATAAAGTTCCCAGTCTTTGCAACAACAACAACAAAAAAAGGCGAGAGGGCCACACGGGACGACCTCTATGTTGATAAAGAAATGCTCATATGAATCATGTATCCACTATATCTTGGTGACTGAACACATCACCGTCTACTTAACACAGATTGCTTTTGTGTTTGAGTACAGAAAGAATGCCATACCCGCAAAAAAAGGCCAGATCATGGGCAGCCATAGAACGATATTACAACATGTTGGGCCAGCACAAGGCATCAGTTTCGATGAAATCAAAGGGAAATAAACTTCTGGTTTCATAGGGGTGAATCGTGATGATGACAACATTCACTTGGCCATACATCTCATCAGAGAGATACGACATAAACATCGGGTTCAGAAACATCAGTGACACAGCGCCCCGCTCACAAGAGTGGTAAACACACCATGAACCAGACCAACGCACAAGCACAATATAACCAAATGGACATCAAACCCACCCATAACCTCAAAACAACAGGAATGGGCAGCATGAGAGGCCTTGAGAGGCACATTCTCCAAGTGCTACTGATACAAGCTAAGTAATTAAATCATACACAAGAAACATGAACCAGAGGGAGGTCTTCCTCAAACCTCACCCACTTCCTCATCCATCCCCATCCCCTAAAATCATGCACTTCCTCTCCATCAACATGAACCCTAAACTATGAGGGGGATCAAACAAACCACCAGGAGCTCCTAGATGAACATGAACAAGAAAAGAGCTCGTAGATCAACCGAATCCTAACCCTAGATCGACCGAATCCTAACCCTAGATCGACCGAATCATAACCCTAGGTCGACCAGGAGGGGGATCTACCGAACCCTAGAAGATCGAGGGGAGAGGGGAGAGGAGAGAGGTACTTGTCGCCGTCGTCGATCGTTGATGATGTGGATGATGTAGCCACCGTCGCCGATGTACTCACTGTCGTTGATGTAGTCGTAGCCCGGGCGGTCGATGTAGCCGTTGATGTAGGAACCATCATCGAGGGGAGAGAGAAGGGTGGATTCGTCATCGGGGTGGGCGGCGCACCGCGGCACGGCGGGGCGGTGCAGCGGCGTGGCGGGGCGGCACGGAGCAGGGGAGGGAGTGGGAGCAGGGTGGCGCAGAGCAGGAAGGGGCGGCACGGAGCAGGGGAGGTAGTGGGAGTGGGGCGGCGTGGAGGGGAGGGATCGGAGGAGCTAGGGTTCGTCCAGGCGGAGCAGAGGAGGGCGGTGCTAGGGTTGCAGGGTGGGGAATGGGAGAGGTAGTGGAGGGGCTAGGGTTGCGGGCGCGGAGGATGGGGAAAGGAGGGGAAATTTTGGGACGGGAGGGCAGGGGATCCCGCGTGTTAGTGGGAGAGGGAGTGGTGGGTCCCGCCTGGTAGTGGGAGAAGGAGTGGAGGGAGTGGAGGGAAATTTTGGGAGAGGGAAATTTTGGTGGAGGGAAAATTTTGGTGTGGGAGGGAAATTCTTTTGGGTTTGGGGGTAGAAAAAAATAGGTTTTTTTTTGTAAACTTTGTAGAAATCATGGTTAAAATCATACCAAGTAGCTCAAGAAAACGCCGGTATTGCAAGTTTAGTATTTTTGCCACTTGGTAGGCCACATTTGATGATGTGACGTGGAGGTCTCCCATTTTTTGATTTTTTTTAATTTTTTACGGTGTTTTCAAAAACCGGCCGATTTCGTCGCGGCGACCATCGATGGCTAGGGTTTGAGCTATGCAAATCTGTTGTCAATTCTGTGATGAATTTCCTACCTGTGAAGCGAAAAAACATTTTTAGTGAAAATACCGGGCAAGCTATGGAGGACCCGCAGTTCAAATTCCAGCCGGTTCCAGCTAAACCGGTCGAAGGTGGTCTGAATTGCTGGGAGTAGCTATGAGGGTTGGAAATGCATGCTTTTTGGCGACCGTCCGTAAAATAGGGTCCACTTTGAGATAGACATGGAATGGCACCGTTTCGGGTGACCCTCCTTGTAGCCGCTTCATGAAAAACGCATGTCTTTAGCATTCAAAAAATGAAAAACGGTCTTTTTGTTAAACAAGTTGGAACCTCGCTTTGGCAACATTGTTTGCCATCACAATATGGAGGCATGCGCCAAATTTGGGCATATTATCAGAAACTATTCAACAGATGCGGCTATATCATTGCTAGTTTGGCTTGAAAGCCATGAATCTTCGTTCATGGTAGGTCGTTTTTGAGAACACTTTTTCAAGAAAACGCCGGTATTGCAATTTTAGTATTTTTTCCAGTTGCTAGGCCACATTTGATGATGTGACGCGGAGGTCTCCCATTTTTTTGATTTTTTTGACTTTTTTACGGTGTTTTCAAAAACTAGTCGATTTTGTCGCAGCGGCCGTCCGTGGCTAGGGTTTGAGCCATGCAAATCTGTTGTCGATTCTATGATGAAATGCCTACCTCTGAAGCTAAAAAGCATTTTTAGTGAAAATAACAGGCAAACTATGGAGGACCCGCAGTTCAAATTCTAGCCGGTTCTAGCTGAATCGGCCGAAGGTGGT